ATTATTTAAATATGAGGACTATTTTTTCTTGCAAAATGGTTTAGAAACGTTCCTTTATCCAGCCTCCTGTCAGACAGGCGGGTAAACGTGTTCCGCATCGTCCGCTTTCAGGCCTGCAGATGTGAAAATAAATACAAATAAGATGATTTAACCGTATTTTTTTCAGTTTAACAGATGAGTTGTATTTGTTTGCAATTTTTGAAATAGTAGATGTTCGGTGCAGCTTTTTAAATCTGGTGTTTTGTTCTCTTCTTTTCGTGCGTAAAACGAGACCAAAGCTGTTTTTCAGCTCTTCTTCTGGCTTCAGATTTAAAACGTCGCCCTCCTCCTTTTTTTAAATTTTATTTTTATGAATTGGGTTTAAATTGGTAATCAGCTCATAAATAGAGCAACAATCAGATTGCGCTGAAGCGGAGTGAAGTCGGACACGACCGTCGCCGCGCGTATTTCACGGCCTGCTCATAATAAGCCCATAAATCCCGAAGAGGAGGGAAGCAAGAAAACAGCCGCTCTTTTCTCATTACTCGGATTTACGACCTTTAAATGAAAACGGGGAAAAAATGCAACGTTTGAAGTGCAAAACGAGGAATTAAGTTGAAACGTGTCCGTCTCCATCCACAGACTGTTATTTAATATAGGTGCCGGTTTTTTTCTCTCCTCTTTCAGACTGTAATTTTTATGGGGTTTGCATCAGTTTAAGTCTCAGGCTTTACAAGCTGCAGCTAGAAAATATGAAGAGCTGGTTCCTCAAATCAGTTTAAGTAGAAAGAACTTGTGACAGTTTTGCAGCTGCAGAAAAAAATCCTAAAAAAGCCCAAAGGTCAGAGGTCAGGGAGACAGTCTGGACCTGGTTTGGATTTCTCTCTGCTGAAGTCATGAAGGAAGGTGGACAGAACATGAACACATCAAGTGATATATTGTTTATTTAAAAAAAAAAAAAAAAACAGACAAAATGTGCCCAATGTGGCTCAAAATAAATGTCAAAAATGTCTTTAAACGTGCACAAAATGATGCAAAAATGACTCAAAATGATTTGAAAACGACCCCAAAATTGACCAAACTTGCCACAAATGTCGTGAACAATTGTCCAGTGACAAAAACAGATCAGGTGTGAAACCTTTTTTCTGCAATGTGGCATAAAAATTGTCCAAAAGCCTCAAATGACAAAAAAAGGAGCAAAGAATCAGAACTTTTTGATAAAAATTCTAAAATTGAAGAAACCTTTGTGATTAAAGTTTTTTATTTTTTATTTTATCAGATTAATTTGTCTTTTTAAAGTTCTGGGTCGTAACCAAAAGCTGCAAAGCCTCAAACTTAAAGGCGGCGGCTCTGAGAGGAGACTTTCAAACTCAATCAGGTGAAACTGTCCTGACTGGATGAGTTCCAGCTGAAGCAGCGACCAGGAAGACAGAAGACGTAGGAGTTGTTGAAAATGATTTAAGAAGCAGAAACGGACGTACGAGACGGTTTAAATGTGAGTTTTAAATGAAAGGAGCCTTTAAACGAGCAGCCGGACTCCGAGTTCTGCTTCAGTGAAGACAAACGTCCACGTAGACGGAGACGATTTCACTCTGCAGCTCTCGCTGGATGTTTGTCTGAACTCAGTGATGCAACCCGTCGTCCTCCATGAACTCATCCAGTCGTTGTGATTACGTAACGCTCCGTTGTGTCATTTTCTCGCTCGCAGCTCGACTGAACCGAAATAGTCGCCGTGACAACCATGAGGAGGACAGATGTGCACGTCACAGGCTCACATCTGTCACGTTCTCTCCGTTTCTTTTAGAATTTCGCCTCCTTTCTGTTAAAACACACGTAAAAGAGCAGAACTGTTGGTCTCTCTGTCTCGTTTCTCGTCTTGTCATCACCGACTTGGAGAAACGTTTGTTCTTCTGCATCTCTGTCACCTGAACAGGAAGTCAGTCACATGCTGTCCACCTGTCATGATGGCTGCTGCTTCAAACACACCAGTAACGTGCTGCTTGTCTTTCTCCTTCAGGAGGATGTTTCCTGCCATGCGAGTAAAGATCGCAGGTCTGGACCCTCACCAGCAGTATTACATCGCCATGGACATCGTCCCCGTGGACAACAAGAGATACAGGTGCCCACGCCACTCACACGTCTGCAGTACGACTCAGAGACAAGCAACATGTCCACAGTTATGCAAAATGTGCCGAAAATGACTCAGAGCTTCTTGAAAACGATGCAAAACATTCAGCAACATGTCTTAAACCTGATAGAAAGGCCTCAGTGTGACCAAGAAGTGTCCAGAATGACTGGAAACGTCCTGAAAACGATGCAAAATAAAAGCTGAGATAAGTGGTCTAAAATAATCTGTACCTCTAGATTATTTAAACTTTTCCAAATTTATGCAAAATGTGCTCAAAACATTTTGGAAACGACCTCAAAGTGGCCAGAACGTCTTGAAACCGGCCCACAGTTATTTAGATTGATGGAAATGTGTCCAACGTGGAAAAAAAGGAAATAAGACTCAAAAAATGCCCAAAGTGTCTTTAAACTGGCCCCAAATTACACAAAATGTGCCTAAAATGACTTCAAACAACTTAATAACGACTCAAAAGTGACTAAAATGTCTTTTAACTCGTCCAAAAAGACAAACAAGTTTTTCCAGAATCTTACAGAACATCTCGTAAATGATTCAAACTGATTGTCCAGCATGACAACAAAGAGTCCAACGGAAAAAACTTAGGACTCACAAAGTGCCAAAAATGTCCTAAAGTACATGAAATACGCCAAAAAAGACCTAAAACGACTTAAAAATGACCCAAGAATGAACCAAAGCATCTTTAATTTGCCCAAAACGACCCAAACGCTGCATCAACGTGTCTGGAAACCTGAAGCGACTCAACCAGAGCGACGGTCTGTCTTTACATCTCCGTTCTCCTCCCGTCCGAACACGTCTGAGTTCGACCGACTTCATCGCTGACGTCCTGCTGCAAAGCGCTGAGTCAGTGTCTGGCTTCAGACGCACAGATGCTGCCTGTCAACGGGAGGAACACTTCTTATTCACGTCGGCTGAAAATAGCCTCAGAAAGCCTTTTAATAAACGCACAGCTGCAGCTGATATGCTCGGCCACATGTCTGCAGCGAGCTGGACCTGAAGTCGTGTTTTCCTGGAGGACCGTCAGGCCCCAACGCTCTGACCCAGTTCTCAGGTTGGACTCAACAGATTGAGCAGCTTCTTCTGCAGGACGCTGCCTTTAGTTTGCATCAGGCTGACCTGCATGTGATGGATCTCTCTGGATATGCAATAAGACGGAGGCCCGGCAGCAGCAGCCGGAGCCAGAGAGACGAGATTGAAATGTATTCATCATCCCGGCGGGCCGGAGGCCGCCTGCAAATAGGATCACCGTCAGGCTCACGTCTGACGATGGAAAGAAACCACAGATCCTGCTTCTAACGCAGAGCTCCACCGGCTGGAGCTGCTGCTGCTGAGATTCAGCCTCAGAAGCTGCATTTAAACCACCGCAGGAAGGTTTAGAGAAGAACACGTGGTGCCGTCGCTAAAACCAGCAGAGGTGGTCTGGACACGCTGCTGCTGATCACAACAGGACACGCTGACGTGTGTTTAATTCATCTCCAAATATCATAAACAATGAGATGTGCTGACAGTAAAGTAAATACAGAGAATATTAGCCATCGTTTAGCTGCACATGTCAGATACGTCAACTCGTCTGTATTTAAATGCAACAAAACCGATGACAGAGATTGTTCATAATGTCTGAACCTTCCAAAAAGGACGTAAAACTTGCACAAAATGTGTTAAAATTAATGCAAACTTGGACCAAAGTGTCTTTAAAGTTTCCCAAAATTATGCAAAATGTCTTGAGAATGACTCCAAATGTGACCAAAATAGTGCAAAAAATGTCCTTAATTACAAGAAGTGTGACCAAAATAATAATAAAATGGATTCACAATGATGCAAAAATGGATTCAAATATCTTTAAACTTATAACAGAGTGTCGCTCATCGTTTACGTGCAAATGTGAAATATGTGAATTTATCTGTATTAAAATGCAACAAAACCGTCACAACAGGATAAAACAGATAAAAAAATCTCTGATTTGCACAAAATGTTTTAAAACTTATATAAAATTTGACCAAAATATCTTTTCACTTGCTCAAAATGATGCAAAAATGTTCCAGATTGGTGCAAAACATGTAAAACAATGTGAACCTCTTTGGACCAGAACCTCCTGCACTTCTTAGAATCACATAAAATGAGTCATTCAGGAATAAGTTCTGTGATTTATGTTGTTAATGCTGCAAAACAAAACGTTCGGTTCTATTTACACCAAAGCTGGAGCAGGTCCTTGTGATGCAGGAATGATTGAGCTTTATTTTGAAAGTCAGCCTTTCTCAGACCAGCAGCGTTTTAAAGGCGGCGGCGTGAAGCTGGACAGCAGGAAGTCCGCTCCCACTTTTATTGTGACAGACTTTACTCACAACAGATTGAGGCCTAAAGGTCGAGCTAAAGTCTGACTTCCTGCGCCGCCGTCTCGAAGGTTCTCGGCCTCGCAGTGGATCTTCAGACGCCAGAAGATCCCGTAAAGCCTCAGCGAGCGTTCACGTGGACGTCTGAGCAACACTCACATGTTTCAGTGCAGAACAAATGGAAGAAAGTCGCTCCGACACGCATCCACACGGGAACCCTGAAGCCACAAACACAACCTCAGCTCCAGCCCGGCATGTTCCCGGACCTCAGAAGAGTAGAAACATCAGAACAAACACACCGCGGAGAAGATCGGCGCCAACAAACCCAAAGATCCCCAAAACCCGACCAGCTAGCCCAGAAAGAGGCTCTTATTTTGAAAACACAAGGAGGAGCAGAAAACTCTTTTTGGATTTTTTTCTAAATAATTTGCAGATGAAGCAAAAAACGTTTCCTTCAGTTTGAAGCTTTTCTGGTTAAAATGTTTGTTTGTTGTAAAGAAGAAGAAAAAGCCGAATGCAGCCACGACCAGAACTGAATGATCGTCTGGAGCTCTAGAAACACAACAGAACTTTATTCATGACTTTATTTTATATCTATATTTTCTGCATCTAAAACCAGTGAGACGCGTCTGCCTTGCTACACTTGTGAGGACATTTGCCTGAAACCAAACCTTTAATTAACCACTAAATCTGAACTCTTTAAACACTCATTAGTCTGAAACTGAACCTACGTCAGGACTCAGTGGAGCTCTATCTTTGTGAGGACATTTAATCTTACATATAGAAAACACAAACGTTCCAATAATTAGAAACACATTTTTATTTAAGGCATTAAAGAGACAAAAGCCTCCAGAGGCAGCGGTTTTACTGAACTTATGAGGACAGCCATTTATTTAGACTCAACTCTAAATCAGATTCATTATAACCTTAATTAAAAATGTAGTTCTGACAAAATTGGTCTGTTTTTATTTATTAATAAATTTATTTATTTAAGACGTCTGGTCTTAAAAGAAGCACAGAAACAAAAGGACACACGTCTGGATATTTATGTATAATTAATATAAAAACAAAAGAGGATAAAATGAAGCCGAGGCGTCTTTATTACTGTACTTGTGAGGACAGCTGTTCATTCTAATGAGTTCTAATCTAAATCTGACTTTAAAGTCTTTATTTCTAATCCTAATTCTAATGTTAGTCCAATCATTTCAAACAGAGCAGAAAATAATGCAGCTTATCAAAGCTGTGTGTGTGTGTGTGTGTGTGTGTGTTTTTAAGGCTGTTTGAGCTTCACTAGTATAGAAATAAAAGGACACACACGTCTGGATGCTGACACACAATTAAAAACACAATAAAAGAGGATAAAACACACACACCTCTGACCCGAACCCGGTTCTGAACAGAATTTAAACCAAAACCTGTTTTAATCTGAGTTTGGGCCATTTTTCTTCTCTTGTTTAACCATCTCTGTGAGGACATTTGGTGCTTTTTGACGCTTAAACGCCGACACAAGTAAAACACACACACACACACACACACTCACACACACACACACTGAACAGTAATCTAGTCGTCATATTCACTCTGTCAGTAACTCAGTGAACAGTCTTGTGTGTAAATGTGTGTGTTTTAATGTGCATGCCAGCTTCACACTCTCACACACACACACACACACCTACACACACACACACACACACACACACACACACACAATCTGTGTTTTGCTTTGTGTGTGTGTGTGTGTGTGTGTAGGTGTGTGTGTGTGAGAGAGTGTGTGTGTGTGTGTGTGTGAGTGTGTGTGTGTGTGTGTGTGAGTAGGTGTGTGAGTGTGTGTGTGTGTGTGAGTGTGTGTGTGTGAGTGTGTGTGTGTGTGTGTTGGTGGTTCAGGGTCTGAGCTGTGAGCAGCAGGACAGGTGAACTCCAGGTGATTGGAGATGAAGAGTTCTGTGACTTTAAATGTGTTTATAAATTGTACAGAAAATGCAGAACCGACCCAGTCTGAGTCCGGTACTGAGTTCTAGTCTGAAGCCGACCCTCAGTCTAAGTGAGGACTCGTAATAGTTCTATCTTTGTGAGGACTCTGGAGCAACAGTATTTATTTAAATAAAATTATTTATTTATTCTAAATAAAATGCTGGATTCAGACTCAGTGGATAATAAACGCTGCTTCCCTGAAATCTACTGATTAAAATACTGAGAGCCGTCAGTCTTACTACACTTGTGAGGTCTGTGTTTGGTACTTTAGGATCCTTATTTCAGCTTTTATCAGTTTAATGTAAATAAACATGCATTTAGTGATGACAGTGACTGAACAGGTCCTTTGCTGGGACTCACAGCAGCTGTAATGTAAAGTTTTATCTGATAGATGCTGTTAAACGTGATCAGTGAGTTTAACAGCAGAAGTCAAACTGAAGCTGCAGGATGCTTCTGGACGGCATTAATATTTAAAGTTAAGTGTTTTCTTCCAGTATTTTGGGAATGGAGAAGAACTCAAGCAGCAGGTTTTTATTTTAGTTTTTCCAATAAAAAAACCCTAAAAATAACTGAAATAATTCATCCAGACTCAGTAGATATCAGATAAACGGACCTATTTGTCCACTTCCTCCACCTTCAACCAGCTGTAACGACTGGTCAGTGATTCAATCTCAGCGTTTGGAGGATTCACGCTGCAGCGTCTCTGCGTCGCTTCGCTCTGGCTGCTGCCTTCGTGCTGCTCTGGGCCGCAGCAGGCAGCTGGTTTCTGCTGAACAACAACACAAAAGCTGCAAATGACAAACAGACGCAGTGAAAGAGACACAGCGGTTAAACAAAGTGGAGCTTTTAGCACATCAACAGTCAAACATTTGCCTTCAGGAGCCGGTGGAGACCAAACATGGAGCTAAAACAGAGACGTTTGCAAAGTGGACAGAAAAACGGCTTCTGGTCTAATTAAGACGACGTTATGACACCACGTTAAAATGTAAGAAGTTAATTACAGAAAGAACCAAACGACAGACAGACGCAGTCAAAGAGACGCTGTGGTTCAACAACGTGGAGGATTTAGCAGAAGAAGAGTCAAATCAGCTTTAAAGAAAGAAGTTCATGAAAATGCAAAACTTTTAAAAAGCAAATCTAAAAATAACAAACATTTAACCGTTAAACACATGAATCATTAAAACTCTTCCATGTTTCCCTCGCAGACGGTTTGATCTTCTTCAGCGGTTCTGGTTCTGGTTGCCCCTGTAGCCCACAGCGCCACCTTCTGACCTTCTTCAGAACATTTTGGCTAAATTTGCTTTAAATTCGTTGGAGATTTCTACGATCGCGACTCGACTTTGTCGCTTCTTCGAGGCCAGAAACTCACTTTGTGCCCCGACGAGCTGAAAGTTCTGTGGTTCTGGTTCTGATCTGATTTCTGTGGCTTTCTGTAAATAGCAGGAACACCACGGAGGGAGATCTTCCATTTGACTAATTGAGTTGTGTCACGAAGTTTCTGTTGTTTTTGGGTTTTTTCGTTGCAGAACCAACAGAACAAAAGGAGATCACAGATTAATGGAGCAATAAAACAACAAATTGGCTGGTTGGAGCGACTCGCCGTGCGGTCGCTCCGGTTCCTGCCACGACTCTTTATTGTGAGAGAAGAAGAAGAAGAAGAAGAAGAAGAAGAAGAAGAAGAAGGAGAGATGGCAGTGAAGGCTGTGCGGTGGAGGAGCGCATTAGGTTGTTAACACAGACCATTTGCAGTTTGTGCCGCTCGCATTCCTGCAGCTCAAACCGCCAGAAAACCTCAGATTAAATAAATGGAAATGGTTTTAACTAGTCCAGCACTGAGAAGCCTCTTTAGGAGTTTTCCCCGCCAGAGATGATCGATTGTTGTTTCTGCGGCGACAAAGCACGCTAGTGTGTTTAGAAAGAGGCGACGGGAGGAAGGTGTTGGAGGAGGAAAGTCTCTACTGATGAAGAAACCTGCATGTGTTCAGGATGAAGCTTCCTGAGGGAACGTCTGCTCTCAGAGGGACACTAACGTCTCCACAAGCTGAAAAAAACGCTTTTTCTTTTCTAGCTTGGCCCCAAATAAACTAAATAACTCAAACACACTCACTAAAAATCTATTAAACTGTGAATAAACGTTTTTTCCCTCCAGTGTGTCCAGACTGGATGTTCAGGACTCATCGTCCTGCAAAAAACACATTTAGTTCAGTTTTTAAAAAGTTTGGCCCCAAAATCAACTCAATAAATTAAACACACTCACTAAAAAATACTACAAACATTTAAAATGTGACCCAATGTTTTCTGAGAATTTGTTTGTTTTCAGTTTTGGGACGTTAATATTTTAAATGGAGACGTCCTCGTCCTGCTCCTGTCATGTTCACAGTTTCTACAGTGTGTTTGTAGAGCAGAACCTAAAACACGTAAACACACAAATTAATGAATTAAAATCAATTCAAAATGAGACTAGATGTTTTTCCTCCAGTATTATCAGGAACACAGAAGATGTTTGAGCCTTAGCGTCTGTAAAACCTGCATTTATCACAGATGTGATCCACATGAGTCCAGAACCTCCTGGAGGAACACAAACGTCTCCAGAACCTGCAGAATCCACCTGACGTCTGTGGTCTGTGTGAGTTCTGATGAGGTTCTGCACCTTTAGCTCCTGAACACGGTGATGAAGCAGATTATGGACACGGGCAGCGCCAGAAACCGTCCGGGCGCAGCGGGCGGGTGTGTTTGTGTGAGTGTGTGTGTAGGTGTGTGTATGTGTGTGTGTGTGTGTGTGTGTGTGTGTGTGTGTTAAAGAAGGCCGGGTTCGTGTCGTCCGTCCTGGTGTGTGTGTGCGGCGGGTCGGCCCGTCCAGGCAGCAGCACCAGCAGCAGATGAGGGTTCTGTCCGGGTGAGTGGCGGTTCTGGCAGAGCGGCTGCAGAACTAAAGGCCAACAGCTGTGCAGCAGAGCTGGTCCACCTGACTTCACCTCGCCGCCTTCAGGCCTCCTGCCCCCCCGGCCTCCTCTCACTGCATTGTTCTGGTTCTGGTTCAGTTTTTCTCTCCGGGGGCTGAGAGTCCACCTCTCTCTGGTTTTCCCTGCCTGCTGTTTCATGGGCGGGACGCCTCGCTGTAGCTCCGACGCACACAACATCGTCAAATGTTATGGCTGCGCTTAATTGAAAGTATGCGGCCGAGCGTGCGACTGCAGATGGAATATTTTATGTCGCTCTTGTTAGAAATTTCAAGCGCAATGAAGAAACAACAGATGAGCTTTAGCAGCCAGTGTTGTGGCAACGCGGCCGCTGTTTGTTGGAGGCTCTCGGTTTTCTGGGGGTTTGTAATAACGGCTCGACCCGGACGTGACCTCCAGCGAGTTCTGAAAACAGAGGAGTGACGATGACGGAGTTTCTGGGAAACAAAAAACACGATTAGTGAAGAGTTTGAAAAGCAGAGAGAGAGAAAGAGCAGGAGGCTCGGACTGAAGTTCAGTTTCACCTCCAAATACGTTCTGCTGAGGTTCTGCTGAGGTTCTGCTGAGACTCCAACAGGAAGATTTTATTTAAGTTTTTCAAATTAAAAAAAAAAAAAGACCCTTAAAATAACCTAAATTTATACAAACTCACCAGAAAAAAACATAAAAATGTGACCAAAGGTTTAAACTTTATGTTTTCAGCTTTTTCAATAAAATAAAATAAAATAATAAAAAAAAGGTTTGAGTCTAAAAATAAACTCAATCATTCACACACTAAAAAACAAAACAAAAAAAACACAGAAAATATTTCAAAATGTGTTTTCAGAATATTTTGGGGGTTTGTTCAGATTTGTGAAATTGTTGTTTTGTTTTTAAACAATTAAACCTCCTCCTGCTGCTTCTGTAATAGTTTGTTTGTTTGTTTGTTTGTTTGTTTGTTTGTTTGAATAGTTTATGAACTCAGAAAATATTCAAACCTGATCTTCCTGCAAATTATCTGCAAAAAACTCAATCAAGCAGATTTTAAAGTTTTTCAATTAAAAAACACAAAGAAAAAGAAAAAGAAAAGTTTGACTCTAAACATAAACTCAATATTTGTCACACTTGCTAAAAAAATACTAAAAAATATTTTAAAATGTGACCAAAGGTTTTCTGAAATGTTCTTTTTGTTTTTCAGTTGTAATAATTTGTAGTTTGCAAATTTTTATTTAAAAAAAGATAAAAATGTTCTGAATGGAGAAAACATCCAAACTTTAAAAACTCCATCAGGCAGATTTTAATTTAGATTCATTAAATCACTAAAAGATTGACCTTAAAAACATCTGAATCATTTAGGTGATGAGATGCTGATGAGTCAGAACCTGGTCGTGTTCTGTTGAAGGAAACAGAACTTCTGACGATCCGTCAGCACAAAGCTCCATCACAGCTGCTTGTGTTTCTGACGTCCCGGTTCTGGTTCTGGTGTCTGCAGGTACGTCTATCACAGCTCCAAGTGGATGGTGGCTGGAAACGCCGACTCCCCGGTGCCCCCGCGGGTCTACATCCACCCCGACTCGCTGGCCTCAGGAGACACCTGGATGAGGCAGGTGGTCAGCTTCGACAAGCTCAAGCTCACCAACAACGAGCTGGACGACCAGGGACACGTAAGAGCCAATCACACGTCTTCTAGCTGCTGCTCTGAGCCTCACAAACCTTCATTGTGCTGCCATGGCTGGGTCAGCTCATCCCACCATGCAGAAACAGAGAATGAAATGAAAACGTGCTGCTGAGGTGCAGAGTCCTGCAGAAAAACGCTGATGTTGCACAAATTCTCAGATATGTAGGAACGTGTTTTTCTTTTAAATGTGCAAAATATTAATTGTGTGAAAGCACAGATGCTGCAAAGCGAACGAACAGCGGTGATGAACGGCTCATGCCTGCAGCAGCTAATCACCTCATAGCCTCTCTACAGCTTCCTGTACAGCCACTGCTGCTCAAACAGGCGGAACTATTTGCACTTTAAGAGCAAAAGAGCGCTAAAAGCAGCTCTCCCTGTTTGACTTTCTGTTATATTTAGTGCCTGTCTTTCCCTCCCGGAGCTGCTGGTTCATGCACGGTTAAGTTCTGATGTTTCCCACATGACCCAAAGGCAACACGAGGAATCTTTCACAGAGATAAACCAGCAGAGGATGTGAAGCCATGACTTCATCTGCGCTGTCGAGCCGCTGACATCATGCTCAGGCTGCAGCCCAGTCGGACGTCAGCGCTTTTCAAACTCAGATAAAAACACACTCGCTGGGAAACGCGTCTCGTAATCTGCATAATATGTGCACAGTGGATCCTGACCCGGTAAACCAGGGCGACCCAGTTTGAGCTGCTCAGTCCTGGAGCTGCTTGGATAGCGAGGCAGGCTGACAGCTGCTGGACTGTCCTGTGCTTTCTGAAGCTGTTTCTCTGATTATTATTTAGGTTGCTGGATTAACGTGGAACACGCTAGCAGTCCGGGGAGCCCTGCTTTAATATATTGCATTAATTTCCGCCGTGGCACTGCGAGGGCCTTCGGTAATGAAACGGTTTTCTTAAGAGCTCTTAATGATTGAATTTGATTTGTAGTTTTTTGCTCCAGCAGCTAAATCCGACCGCAATCCGCCTGATTTACTGCCTGGCCTGTGTGCAGCCAGTAACAGAGGTGGTGAGCTAGAGCGAGCCTCTTATTGGCTCTTGGCTGCTCCCAGCGTGTCATGTGGCTTTCATAGGTGAAATATTTAACCGTAATGCAACAAGTCGGACCACAGTTTGCTTGATTTACTGCCGTCCTCGTGTGTAATCAGTCGGTGGGCAGAAAGCTGAAGGGAGTCCCTCATTTGCACTTCATAGCCCTCTGAAGTCAGGAGTGAGCTTCATGGGAAAGACACCATGTTCACTTATTAGCTGCAGCCAATGTGGAAAATGACAATAACAGTTGTTTTTGTGCAGCAGAACTGAAACCCAGTTCTGTTTCTAGTAAAAGCTTTGATAGATGCCGATGAAAATGGTTAGAAATGGAGCGCTAGCAAGTCAAAGGTCAAGTTATTGTTCTGAGGAGTTGGTGGAGACCAAAACAGAGCCAAAAAAAGAGCTGCAGGATTAGACCTTTGTTCAGCCTCCTGGCTGGCGAGCTGTCTGTTTGGTGTTTATTCCCTGAATCTACAAATGTGTCATAAATAATCAACACAACAGTATCCCAGCGGGTCCTGTGCACGTTCATGCTCGTGCACGTTCATGCTCGTGCACAGGACAGGATGAAAAGGAGAACAGCTAACATGCTAACATGCTAACTAGCTAAACATCAACTATCTATCTGCAGAATCCACCCTTAAATTCAGCAGAGTGTCTCGTTAGTGCATCTGTTTGCCAACATATTAGCTTGTTTTCTTGCTTTTCTGCCCCCTAGTGGCCAGAAAATGATTAGCGCAGCTTTGACGAGAGCAGCGAAAACAACAAAACAAAATATTTAATCTTAAATGTCACTACAGGACATTTGTTGGTCATAAAAATCAGAAAAATGAAACCTCGAGGCTCAATCGACAGAATAAAGGTTTGTTTTTAGCTAACAGCTGCTCAGAGCGTCACTTTCACTTCGTCTTATGTGGAAATGAAAGAAATCATCCAGAAGTCTGAGCTCAGAGTGAAGGAGCTTCATCAGGAAGCAGAAGACGTCGCGCTTCCTCTTCCTGTCACGAGCGTTTAAAGGAGGCTGTCGTTTGAGACGCCGTCCGAAACAAATCCATCCCTCCTCTTCCTCCTCCTCCTCTTCCTCCTCCTCCTCTTC